AGGATTCTTTAAGTTGAACGTGAAAACGGAGAGGGCCACAAAGAAGAAGGAAATATAGCAGGGATAAACCAACATATAAAAGGATCACTGTGTTCGTTGGACTCTGTTGAGACGCAAAGAATTGACATTATGACCGCCTGCTAATAGTGTGCTTGTCTTACATTTACAGCCAAAACTGCTCTGACTCGATGAGTCATCGTCTCCTCTAGACTTCTGAAGGGTTGCAATGGTATCTGGCCCCGAGTTGCTAGCAGAAGATCCTTTCAGCCCTGGATGTTTGATCAGGAATGACTCTTCTGATCTGAAGTCTTTGTCTGCTATATCCCACAGATGCTCTGTTGGATTGAGGTCTGGTGAATTTGGAGCATCTCAAACATTTTGGGTTATCCTTATAAGTATTCTTGAACCGTTTTTGCTTTGTGGCAAAATAGATCATAACCGTTTCGTGAGACAGTTCCCATTGAGGTTCTATACCTAAGTAGGTTCACTTTTACATGGGTGGTAGAATCCATGGTTTTACAACAAGTTGTTGCCCAAAATACTTCCTCCTATGGATTGTCAGCACAGTGTCCGGTTCCATAGTTCAGGACCTTCAACCTTCTTCTTTTGCTTTGCAGTCCATTTCTGGTGCGGAAGCAGCAGCTTTCTGTCATGACCCACATAATGTCCTCCAGCAACTTGAGCATCACTAGCTTGTCTGTTGGGTGAGACCAGTCAAGCAGAACCTTCATTTCCCATATGTACCGACGGAGCTTGACCCTGTTGACAATACACCACTATTCCTTCCTGAAGATTTTTCTGTTCAGTTGTGACAATTCCGATTGCTCAAGCTGAACTTGAGAGTTTCATCAGTCGCTTTTCTAAATAGGAAGGAAGACACTAATCCATCTGTAGGGAAGTAGGGGAGAGTGGTGCTTTGGGATGAGAACGGGCTGAACCACATCGTCTCTCTCACCGTGGGGAGGGAGGCACAGATGGCCCTGACACAAGGGCCATCAGGATGCCTGGTGCAAGTAGAGAAACATTTGTTTTACCCTCTCAGCTTGAAAGAATCGAGTTTAATGTCACTATTTAATGTTTTTGTCTGGGTAAATGAGGAGTCAAATTTAAAAGCACTTAAAGTTTGTGCCAGCAGCAGGCTGTTTCTACTTGGCAAAAATTGTGAATGACGATCAGTCAGTTTGAAGATGGCAAATCTGGAGAAATAAGGAGGAAAACGGATAGGCTTTGGATTTCTGCTAGGTTAAAGTTTAATCATTTCAATTTCAGGCCTGAAAAGATGTGAAATATATTCAGATTTCTCAAACCAAGTTTTGAGAAAGGGGCTTGATTGGGCACAGATTTTAGAGAAACGGTTTGGTTTTTACTTAAAGATGTAAAATGTGTACAAACAGTCACTGGAGGGATTTAGCTGTCATCTAAGACATTGAAGGTCATTGAAGGTGGTACATTCCCATGCTTTTCCAGGTCTTGAAGTTGTAGGAAAATGATCCCTCTAGAATGAAGATGATCTGATAAGGTGAAGTCCTAAAGTGTTTCCTGTATTTCTACTTGTCTTGCCTCATCCTTATCCAAGATCTAAGTTTTCCCTCCCACGTTTTTTTAAATTCCTGAAAGTCCGTGTATTCCTTCATTGTCGGATCATGCAATTTTCTATGTTTTCTAATCTCTTTCGTCAGATGCTTGTAAAAAATCGGCTCCAAATTTCATCCTCAAGAAGTCGCATACTGAATAGCTCGATGTGAACATTGTTTCCTGCCAAGCTGTTTAACGTGCGGCACTGTGTATCCGTCGTAAACATTGACCTTTATGCTTAAGAGTCTGATTTATGTCTGCATCAAGTGGAGTGAAGTACTCCCTAATACGTTGGAGTATTTAAGAAGCAAAATTTATTGTCGTAATGTGAACATTGAGGAAATAACAAACTTAGGAACGCTCTCTTGTGAAAATCCAGGGGTTTAATATCTGCTGGTGCCCTTTGTGTCCCATAGATACAAAAAGTTTCAGTTCGACTTGAATAAAAAGACCTTTAAGCTCACTCATATGACTGTTTTTATTTTCTTCACTCCCACAAATCTCACTGCAATATGACATCTTTCTAACACAAGTGATACAACTTAATGATAAATTCACACAGGCCTATTTCAAAAATCCGAACCATCCCTTGAAGGCAACATTAGCAGTGGAACGTTTGGGGACATGAGGATAGATAATTGCCTAATGTCTCCGAATGAACAAAAGAGTTTAGTTTCGACGATTTAGGAGTTTAGGCACTTTTTAAAAACCTCGTAGTCGCGCTTTACTCACTTGTTTAGAGGCGGCTCAATGTCAAAACCCCATTCTGCCTCCGTGCTCTCCCGTGTTATTACATTGATGCACGAAGGAGGCGTATCAGGGCCCGGTTTTAGAGGCGGTGGGAGAAGAGAAGCCTGCAGGATGAGGAAGAGGTGGTAAGAGGCAGAGAAAGGCAGTTGATTAAAGGCAGCAGCTTCAATAATGCAAATGTAATTACTTGCTCTGGCCCTCTCACTTGCTTAGCTCCTAACTGCATTACTGTGGAGTGTTAGGAAAAAGAGAAAGGCAAGGAGGCTCAGGGGCAGAATATGGAGGCTGGCGAACAAACGCAAATGAACAAGAAACAAAGTGAAGTTAAAAGGTATTTCAGATAGTGGAAAGCGAGGAATGGTGAAAGTTAATCACTTTCAGGCGGGATTATGGAAAGATGATGAGGGAGGGGGGGAAAAACATCAAAAAATCAAGCTAATGGGTAAATACGGAGTGAGACAATTGTTTTGTGAGAATTTAAAGAAAAATATCAATTAAAGCAGCTTCAGGTTAATTGTAAATGTGAGAGCTGAAGTTGCTGTTGTCATGGCTACTCACTCTTCGTAGGCGAGCAGCCCTGCTTTGGAATAGATGTGAAGACATGAAAACCAACATCACACATGTGAGAAGAGCGCTCCGAAAGAAACCAGAGATTTTAAGAAGAGCAATGCTTTCATATTTTGAAGCAAAAAGGAACCAATAATTGAAGCTTTTTCATCAATTGCTGTTTGTGAATGTGCGTCACTCGGAAACCTAACTATAAATATTCCAACTTTGGGCACAGTTTTCTCTGTTTCCATGTCTTATTCCACCTTTAGTAATTATGTTGCATTGTCCATATTTTTGTGGATGTAAAATAACTACTGAAATAAAAACAATTGATCGCAAAAAATAGATTCTAACTTTGGACTGTTGCATGGATAATAAAAGAAGAAAATAATTAGCATACTTAATACTTAAAATATTTTGGTCTTGATGCATAATTATCGCAAAAAAAGTCCCTCAATTAAGTTTTCAGTCTGCAATTTTGTACTTCATGTAACATTTTATAGGCCTGACATTAGCTGCTTAATTAGTTGGGCTGCTTGCTGCTGTAGCCTGTTTTTACTCCAGTTGCTCCAGTTTCCAATTGCAACAACTTTGCTTTAAATCACAGGGACTGTTGAAGTTGTTAAATTCACATTCTTTTAAATGTGAATTTATTGATTGCAACCTTTGTAAATATTTTCTCCTTGAACAAAGCAACATTTTGTTGATGGCATCATCACTGAAATTGCCGGTGTTACTTCCTGATTCTGGGATACCTGCCTTATCCGTCAAGCGGACATCATCAAACGAGGTTCTGATCTGTGTAACCAGAACACAACCTCGTAATGTAGTATCTGTTAGCATCTTGCAGGCCTGAAAAACAGCTAGAGATGCAGTTTTTCTTTTCCTTTTTCCTTTTTTTATGTTTTTGGTAAATGATTCCTGCTGAAATGGTCTTCCTCCTCCTACTCTTTGCATCCCCTCTCCACCTCTCTCCATTCTCCATCTGTGGGGTCGTTTGCCTCATCAGCTGTTCTCCAGCCACGCCGAAATGACCCCTCAAGGAAACGTAATCCTCGCCGCGTCCGTGTGTTCGGGCGCACACTCGCACTCTTAAATGCCTACGCGCTGATCCCGCACGGATTGTATTCTGCAAGCTCAACCGTCTGACTCGGCGGACTCCTGCGATTATGATCTGGCTCATTATCCCCATATATATTTATTTTTTTTTCTTTTTTTTTTAAAGAAAGAGAAGTCTCAAAATAGAGTTTAGACATTTAGGAGTGTGTATTTTTTCTCTCCCTGTTTTTTTTTTTTTTTTTTTTTTTTTTGTGACGAGCAGCAAAATCTAAACTACCGCCATAAATCGTGCAAGTTCTCTTTGGACATAAGTAGGTCCTCGGGGCGGACTGCTGGATGGGATCTAAGTGGATCGGGAATGAGCCTCCCCGCTGTTTGAAACAAAAACACAATTTCTCCTGCTTTCTCATAGCTTCATAATCACCGAAGGCCAGATTGATTGTTTTTTTTTTTTGTTTGTTTTTGTTGCGTTTTTTTTTTCTTTTCTTTCCTGTTGCCGTGCCAGTTTCAGTTCGCTGGCCTTTTTCCCTCATTTGTCGTTTCAGAAGACGCCTCAGACAAAATTGCCTCCTTGAAACATGTCTGATATCTGTGATAGTCTCTGAACTCTGGCGAGAATGAATTGTTAAAATGAAAATTGTGAAATTTTGCACTTGTTTTTGTTGTGCGTCGTGAAACGCTGACCCCTCGGGGCCCAGTGGCTGCAGAACTTCACTCTGATAACGAGCCATGTTCGCTTTTTTCAGAACAGCAGGTTGTTGTTGTTTTTTTTTTTTACAGGAGGTCGGACAAAATTTCAAACACGTAATTTCACAATATAATAAAAACAGTTTTTGCTTTGTTTTGCTTTTGCTATTGTTGTTGTTATCCATTTGACCCAGTCTTGTTTCCCACCTGGTTCTTGATCATGGTTTTTTTTTTCATTGAAGATGGAGGTCCCTCAGGAGAGTTTGGAAGAGGCTTAAACACTAAGAACATAAAACAACTCTGCTTTGTGAAGTCATATCTCTGTTCTTGACGGCGCCCGGGTCCACGTTGACTCTGTCTGATTTCTGTCTTCTCCTCAGGACAACTATACATTTGCTCAGCCAGGCATTCAGAGGAAAGTCAAGGCCCTTGAAGAGCTGGTCAGCAGGATTGATGGTGAGTCATCTGCTTTGCTTCTTTTCATCCATCCCTCCCTCCCTTCCTCTCTCCGCCTGTCCATAAAGTTCTTTTTGCTAACAATGCTTCCATTTTGACTTGATTTCCACTTGCTGCTGTATGCCTCTCTCTTCCCTGGGTGCTTTATCACCCGCTTCTTTCCTGCGTTTGACAGAAAAGACTATACATGCCCTCAGTGGCTCGAGATTAGCTAAATCTTGCTGTGTATTTCTTAAATTTAACTTGATCTCTAACTCTGAAGTCATTTGAAGAAACTCACAAACTGCTTTTGGATATCTGGGAAAACTTTGTTCCATTGGGGGCTGAAGTTGCAACATTTGTTACATTTTCAAACTACGTTGTCAGATGAATTCAAACTTTGAAAAACTTGTTCACTCCCTTGCCTGTGGTGGCGCTGCACCAAGAACTACAAAGGGAAGCAACATAAAGACTTCTGAAGAAGACACTGAGCGCAACTCCCGGATTTACGAAATGTAATGGATTGTTGTCAGAGTTTTAGTGGCTGTGGGGGGGAAAGACTAGTAGCAATTTCCTGGTTGTATTTACCCAGAATGCCTTGTGCTGTAATCCACTTCCTGCTTTTAGAGCGGTCTCCAATCCCCTTGCCATCCATTAGAAACCTACATTTTTGGAGCAGAGTTCATCTTTCTGTTTGCATCAGAGTTCGATTGCACATTCAATATCAAAATAGCACTTTTATTTTTTACTTAGTTTCCAACTAGATTTGTTTTTCTTGACTATAACCATGTCACGTCGAGAAGGGGAAGCAGAGGAACAGAATACTAGAAAAAAAGTTTGAAAAGTTGACTTATGTAAATTTGGTTTTAAGTCTTGACTATACTGTACACCTTTTTTTTATTTTCCATATTTTCCATATTTCACTGTTGATGTGGTGTTCCTTTGACGCTTATCATTGTAGCTGGGCCCAAAATACCCCGTAGCCTGTGTTAAGTTTCAAAGCACCATGACACATTCTCCCACAGTTCTCCCTCCCTCTCCTGACTGATACCTTTGCGTAGGATCATTTCATTCTTTTCTAACCCGTCATCTAAATATGACTCAAATAAGCATCTGTCAAGAACAAACACAGGAAAATTATACCTCAGTAGCAGAGGTTTATTTCAGCTCGAGCAGAGTCACTATAATTATTGTTTGTTGTGAAATGAAGCAGACAAAATGCTGAAAGTGAGTTAATGCACACCTTTTCAGTCATATCGGCTTCCATTTCCACATATATCAGCGCAAGAATGTTTTGAAAAATTGATCTTTTTTGTTTTGTCAGAGAAAATATTGCGGTTTACTAATGCTGTGTGTTTTTTAAATCTATTGTGCATGCAAATTAGAGTTTTTTTGGGTTTTTTTTTGCTTGAACTTTGTATAACTTTAAGCTATTTTTAATTACGTGTTTCTAAAATGGCGTCCGGCTGCTTAGCATTCCGCTCAGCTGCATGGAAAAGCGTGCATGCTCGTGAATACAGTACAGGGGGAAATACGAGGCCGGCTGGGCGCTCGGGAAGATAATCTATGCAAACCGAGTGGACTCATCCACAGTTTAATGACATTTCCCCCCACATGGCTAAAATTATGTGTTAATTACCAAAGCTGCCCTTTTCCTCTCCGTCTTATCTTTTTTTTTTTTTTTTTCCTTTTACTCCCAGCGGGGAAAGAAAAGCTTCCCTTTCTAACTTAGTCAACCTAACACCCATGAGGCATGCACGGGCGTACATGATGCATTGTGCGAAACACGCTCTTATCACAGCAAGCTTCTGCCGAGTGCTCACGTACTCGGCAAACTCGCGGCGCCGTCCTGTTCTGCTGTCGCTCGCTCCGTCAGCCAGAGGGCGAGCACGACTCACCCGCTGCATTTAAATGGCGCGTGAATGTCGGTAAAGGTTGGTACTTTTTTTTTTTTTTTTTGCAAACGGAACCCGGGGATATTTTTTCCCAGGACTCCCCCCACCCACCCGCCACCTTCCGCCAGAGCAGGATGGTCAGATCAGTCAGGTTTTCCTCTGTTATCGAGTCCCTGAGAGTATTTATCTTTGTATATTTCTTTTCTGCGAATTTTTTAACTCTCCAGTTGTTCCCTTGATGAGCAAACATGAACACAATGAGTAATTCTGTTGATTTAATACCAGAATGTCATTAACTTCAGTTACATAACTACATTAACTACAGTATATATCAGTCAGTCAGAAGCAGTTAAGAATATTTTCTTTGTATTGCTATCACAAAATCATCATTTATCTACTTTTTTTTTGTCATAGTCAGAATTACAGTGCTGTGATTTAATTTTACACGCTAGAAAATTTTAAGAAAGATGCCACTGCTTAAAGAAAGATGCAAGACTGTCACTCTGCCAAAGGCCATGTTGGAAACCCAGCAGATTGATTAATCAGTTTTTTTGTTTTTGAAGATTTTATGGGAAATCTGGATTAATTGTTTTTTTGCACCAGTACACTTTTTGAGCCGAACACCAAGCACTGCTGACGCTATTAACACAGAACCAGTCTTATTATTTAGTTGATGGTCGTCCTTTCATCTTTGTGGAGATCAACATAAAAAAAATGACAACACATTTACTGTATCTCCTCCATAAGTGCCCTGTCATCATAGCTGCGGCAGAGTCATTTTATACCCCGCTAGCTTGACATTACCAGCTCTAATGAGATCACAGATACCTCTTATCTTGTGTTACAGGATTGTTTTTCGCCCCGCTGTCGACATAGCATCTGTTCTGGGAACAATAGCCTCTCATCTGCTCCAAAATTACCTATCAGCACTTATCAGATGCAGGGTTATCCAGGCTGTTGTTGGTTTTTTTGATCAAATGTGCGGCTCTGTCTTGTAACAGCGGGAGGATGATTTGCTGGAACCGTACTTTTCTTACAGCTAATACAAATCCCAAATTAACTGTATTTTCTTTATTTTTGGTTTATTCGGGTTTTCTCTGCAGTTCCGACAATTGAATTCTCCCATATTCAAGAGGTTTCTTTTTTTCTCCGTCTTGCTGATCCATGAGTAACAAGTTCACTTGTCTTTGAGGTGTGTTAATTTATCGCTCTTGCTGTTGATATTTCGTAAATAAAACCGTAGGACATTTATAGGTCAATTACAGAGGAGATACAGCTGACAGAAATGAAGAACTTCAGGTGTTTTCTGTTTTTATTACCTTAATGTTACTCGATCTTGTACAAATAAAAGAAGACTACTTTTCATGCTCATTACACACCTTCCTTGGCCAGGTGCTGCTTCATAAACATAAAGTAGTTTCCTTATCTGTGAAAAACATCAGCCTGGAAACCGTATGCTCACAGAAAACCAAAAAAAGAAACATTTTGAACAGCGTTATGGACTCTGTACAGTCAAAAACATGCCAATAAATGGTTAGCAAGTAAGATAGTTAGCTGGAATAAAATTCTCACAGTCTAATACCCTTAAGACAAAAAATATCTGGATTGTTTTGTACAAAAATTAAAAAAGTTTCCAGCATATTCTTTGTTGAAAACAATCATTCCTTCGGTTAGCTTTCTATCAACGTTATAATGTTTGTAAAAGTAATGTTTGGCGTTCCTTCAGCTTTGTGTTTTCCATATGCCTCTTCCAGAAACTTTTTCTTTTTTTTTAATGGCAGGAAAATGTGTGGCACATAAAACAGTTTTGTTCACTACTTTTGAAAATAAGGCCTTTTTATTGAAGTGTATTTTTACATTCATTTAGAGAAACCCCTTTTTTATGAGTGAAATTCACAAAAAAGTAGAATCACCAGCATCAAGTAAAAAATGCATTCGCAAAGTGCAACATATTCTCGCAGAAAGACGTGTTTATTTTTCATAAAATAAACAGGGCTAGTTATAATAAAGAAACATGATAGAAGAATAAAGTAGAAGATTTGAGTTGCTTCGGCAGAAACAAACAACCTATATCGTACCATTAAATACGACACATTTTGACCCCTTGTATTTATTTGCAGTGTAAATAAATACAATTTAAAATGTGTTGGAATAATAGCTGCTGTCGAGCAGACCATTTTAAAACACCTCTCACAGAGTTCTGAAGTTCAAGGAAAAGAACCATTCAGAAGAATGTTTTTTTACCCTTTACACTGCTAATGCTAGTTAGTATTGTTAAAATACTAACTGTATGAAACTTTAATTGCCAAGAATAACAGAAAAGGTCAATGCCTTGTAGCCAAACCAAATTTAAAGCACTTCTTTTCTTTGAACCCATAGTTTTTGAGGTATCGTTGCGCCACTACGTCTGATCATTCCTTCCTCTTCGCTTTAAATCCTACATTTGAAATTCGTGTGTGTGCCTCCAGGCTCGTCCGTCAGACTACCCCTCTGTGTAATTATCGTCTTGCGCTAATAACTCCAACTCCCATTAGCCTTGCTTGATGCCGGCAAATGCACCGCCTCAAAAGACAACAACCACTTTGTTGGCATGTAACGTTCCTCTGATCTCTTTATCTCTTTTATCTCTGTATTTGCAGCATGCTAGTGCATTAGTACAAGTTCATTTACATGCAAATTGCCCCAAGGTGAATCTATCTATGCTAATGAAAGCGTGCATCTGCGACATACTCGCCGATCCTGGGTCTGCTGAGAGATTCTAGTGACTGTAGCAAAAAAGGAACCCTTCCATACGCGTACGAGTTTGAAAGGGATAATTAGCCTTTCTGTAGGAGATGATGATATTGGCCTTGTGGGTTATGTACCTGACTTTTAATCTGTGTATATTCTATTTGTAGCTTCAGCAGGAGGTTTTCTTTTGAAATCAGGCCCTTTCTTTTCAAAGCTTCATGCTGAGGTCTGCTTCAGTGGCTTGTAACCTGACCTGAGGTCAGTTACACAATTTTTCCTTCTCTTCCCACACAGACTTCAGAAATCACTCTTTGCTCAGCACACTGAGTTGTACGTGTCCTCTGATGTATTTCAAGAGATTTGAAGACTTCTTATCGGTAGTCTTTTCAGTCCGGAGCTTTTTCCAAGTTTTTTAACTTGACTCACTGCGTGTTTTTTTTTGGTTTCAGCTTGATAATGAGACAAAACTTTTAGTTTTGGAGCCTTTTTTGAGCGCCCATCACTGCAAAATGCCATAAAGGGGGTCATTTTCAGGATATATGTAATAGAAAACGAAGGCTCCACTGTGCTTTTTCACTCAGGTGCCTTGTCAGAACACCAAAGGTTTTGAAATAAATATTGTTACTCTTCCAGTTTATGCCCATAAATATTACACAGTGCTGCCATGGAAATGAAAAAGCTCAGTGTAGAGGTGGCAAGTTCACTTCGTCTCTGAAAGCTTTGGTTAACAACAGTGGCTTTTTAAACGTTCGTCATAAAACCTGGTGACTTCTCATCAGCGTCAGTCAAACGTATCAACCAAACATGTCAGTCACTTCCTAATTAGATGAGTATTTTCTTGGGATAGTTTCAGTTTTCAGATGTTTTGGAACATTTTTGCGACGCATCGTCTTACCTGTTCAATTGAGTCTTTCAGTGGCAACCGGTCACAAAGCTGTTGGTTGAGACAAACAATTAATCCAAATTGTCATAAGATGTTTTGCCCAACAAATAAACAATCTGATAAATGCCCCCAGGTGACTTGAGAAGTTGCCTATTGACACAAAGAAGTTTGTTCTTCAGATGAGTTTAAAAAGAGTTAATTGATGGAAACCGCTCAAGAAAGAAGGACGTGTCACCTGGTTTTTGTATTTAATGTAGGTAAAAAATAAAAAAAAAGCACATCAGACAAAGGTTGCAGTGAGATAAAGTGTCAACGTACCAGGAGCGCCAGATGACGAGCCAGAGAAAAAGATGAAATGAGAAAGAGGGGGGGAAAAAAGAGAGAAAAAAGTCTAACTGTAATTACATGTTTTACCAAGGAGAGTGTCAAGTCGGGCAGAATCGGCCTCATCAGCAGAAACCTGAGCGCTGCTCACTGTAGAACCTCTGACCTCCTGCTGTCCAGCCAGCCGAGGGCTGCAGTCTCTGTGAGGGGGCGCGGTGGGGAGCGGGGGAGGCTGAAGACGAGGAGAGCCAACACTAAACCCAACACCAGGCTGGAGGACCAGACTCATCAGTCAATCAGCCTACGAGACGCGTCATCCTCAGCCCTGATAACAACCCCACTCAGCATGCTCAGCACTGTTCCAGCAGCCCAATGACTAATAACGTTCAACTTCTACAACTTTCCCCTCATATGTTTTCAACTTTTCCCTTTTTTTTTTTTTTTTAATTTAATAACGCTCAGTATTTCTCCCTCTCTGTCGCAATATAATGAATAACCCTGCCCTCTGTCGCCGCCGCCGCCACACCCTCTCCCCTTACCCCTCCTCTCTGTTTGCAGAAGTTGCTAATATTAGGAGGAGCAAGTTCATTAGTGTAATTTAACATTGTCTAAAGTAGTTCCGCTCCCTTTTGCCTCTGCTTGGCAGCTAGCTCAGATCGGTCTCCGTGATGCATGCGCCGTTAATGAGCTTTTCTTGTTTGTGCTTTTGCAGCAGCATGTGATAATTAAACTGCGGAGAGGAGTGTGAAATAATAGCTTTGTGTTTACCCCGCGTTCCCCGCCTGTGTCTTCGAGAGCAGATAGGTGTCGTTCAGGTGTGTGTTTGACGATGATAATAACGCATGTGGCCCTGGTTAGAAGTATCCACGTAATGTTTTACCAATAAAAGGATTATTGGAGCAGTGTGTGTGTGCGCTGTCAGTCAGCTCTGATTAAGAGCAAGCGAGTGTGAGAGAAGAGGATGCGATAGTTCCTCCCTTAACTGGCTTTTCTTATAGATTCCCTGACAGCTCCATAATTACAGCTCTATTATGAGTTGTCTGCATGCGTGTGTTCGTGCGTGAATGTGTGTGAGGAAGAATGAGTGTCATGGGCTTGATGACTGTGAAACAAGGAGTCTCAGAATTTTAATCTTTTGTTATGTGGAGACGGCGTCAAACAAACATTTATCAAAAACGGAGACGGGGAACAAAAGCAGTCACTCTCGGCGTGGCGCCGCCGCCGTACGCAGGCGGCGTATTTGCCTCTCATCCATTCTTCTCCGTGAGCGTTCTGCCAGCATGCCGTGACACTGACACTGAAGTTTGAGCCCCGCACCGGGGCCATATTGAAAGCGTGCCGTGAAACATGTGGTCCTCTGTCTGTGCGTTCAGAGAATCAGGCAGAGAAGAGCAATCCAGTCTCTAATGTGGTTTCTTTATTCTTTGAGACATTTTTATTTCCTTCTGCTCCACAATAAATTCAGCAATCATAAAAATGTTCAAAAACTGTTTACCTGCACCAAGATCTTTGTACAATTTCACCTTGCAGTGAATTCAGAAAACATTTAAATTACCGCTCTAGGGAATAGTGACACGTTTCCATTTATCAACTACTTTAATTTCTTGAAGACAGTCACACCGTAATAAATACAAGTATAATGTTTTTTTTTAAATACTTTTTTCTGCATTTATTTAAATCGTCACATTTCTGTTTGGATCGGACTTTGGCTAATTGAATTGGGCTAATTTCTGTTTTTTTAATAAGCTACTTGTATCTGTTGAGACTGATATGTCAAACTGCATGTCAAAACTCATAAATAAAGTTTGAAAACAAATAATTATCACTCTAATTGTACTGCTAGTGGGAGTGCACTGATTGGGGATTGGATGGAAAACTGCAATCTTTTAAAAAGCCTGACCTGCTGATTCCCATTTTGGCCTTTTTTGTTTCCTGTCTGAAAAGTAGTTAAGTTGGCAACAGTTGCATTTATCAGTGCAACCTTAAGTATAATTTAGGAGATTAAGTCGATCTAAATCTCTTTATAATTGGATATAAAATGAGACTTTCTGCCTTGTAAAGTGGCTTAAGGTGCCATTCGTTGGGAATTGCCATTGTATAGTTTCTTGCAAATGTAAAATATTCCCTTTAATTTTATTAGAACGGCCTAGTCAAAGTCGAGACACAAATCCAGTTGAGGATCTGTGGTAAGAAATGACTCGAATAAAGATGTGACTCGAGATTTGCAGCTGCATCAAATTATTTCTTCCTGTTCACAGTTATGCACTAATTTGTGTCTTATTTTATTATGTCTCATGAAAGCCATAAAAAAAAGCATTGATATTTGACAAAAGTGGAAATTTTCTCTGTAAATACTCTGCATTACATAAACTCCTTTGTAGTGAATTCTTTTTCCGCAGAGAAATAATCACCTTTTTTTTCCCACAGAGCTGAAAAGTTGAGTCTGAATGTAAGAAAAGGAGGGATGCCTCATTAATATTCACTCTGGAGTTTTCACCTCCCATCCCTTTTTCTTTTTTCCTTCTTTTTTTAAGTGGCAGGGTCCCGATCTTTGGTTTCCGACACTCTTGACTTTCCGCGACGGGTCAGAAGTCGGCGCAACACAATTTTTATCAGCTTCTGCCGAGGGCGGCGATGTCAAAGAAGTAATTAACATGCTCTCTATACGTTGCATGTAAGCCGTCATTCAGCCTTCACCTCTGGACGCCATTGACCTAATTTATATGCACTTCAGTCTCCATTGGAGCGACATGCAATTTCTCTGGAGTGTTGGTTAACAATACAATTCCACTTCCATTTCTCATCCCGCGCCGGGTACGAGGCCGTTCCCAGACAATTTGGATGGCTCTGTAATTACATTTCAATTATGAGGAAACAGTGGCGCGCGTGACACCGATGACAGCAGTTTTGAAATAGAGAAGAGGGAGTTCAGAAAGAAAATCTCACGCCATGGTGTCGCCTTGAGGTTTCTCCCCCTCCCAACCCCCTGCCTCTACAGCATTTTGCATCCGTTCTCTTTTGTTGCTGTTTTTGAGGTTTTTATATCACGTTTTTTTTTTGTTGTTGTTTTGTTCTAATTTCTGCCAGAATCTGTTCACCGCCATATGCAGCAGTACGAGGTGGAGTACCTGCAGTTCGCCTTCCGCTGGATGAACAACCTCCTGATGAGGGAGCTGCCGCTGCGGTGCACGATCAGACTGTGGGACACGTATCAGGTGCGATCACACACAGGGCCCGCCGTTATCACATTTTTGTTTTTTTTACCCTCCCTCCTCTTCCTGCCTCTGCAGGAGATTTTAGGGTTAGGAATTATTCCCTGACGAAAACATCCGTTTTCTTTTGCCACCCCCCAAAGACGAAGCGGCAATGTGATGCGGCATGTCGTTCTGAGTTTTCAGTTTTATGCAGATGAGGTGACAAAAACTTGAGTTTCATGTTGGTGTGCGAGACGTTTTTTTCCTGTCATTTCCTTCATCAGAGAAAAGTTTAAGAAGAGGGGGGGGGAAATAATGCGGTATTTCACTGCATGTTAGAATTACGACAACTGTGTTTTCATTTGTCATTCTACATTTTTACTTTATTCACATTGCTGCTAAATAAACACTTAATTGAAATTCAAGCATCTTCAAGGATCTCAATGTTTGGAAAGTGCTTGATTTGTGTGTAAAGTTCTGCAAATTCCTTCATACTTGTTGATCTGTGCAGGTGGAATAATATTTGCTTATATTTTATGCGTTTAACGTTATTGAAATTGTGAGATTTTTTTGGTACTTTGTACACCTGAAAGCAAAAAGTTCAGTTTTAGAGAGACATTTCAAAATAATATGAAAGTGTTACACTTGACCATGCTGTAAAATGTAGAATACTAGCACAATACATTATTAATTACAGTAATAAATTGTATAATGTTATCTTGAATTGTCATTTACATTGCTTTTATCTCCAAAGTACTGTTCTATGAGAGTTTGAAGACGTACCTTGAAAAATGCGTAAATTTAACTATTTTGACAAGTGCACAAACCCTCATTTTTAGACCTGCTTAGCAGTACAAAAAATGTTTCCAAAGACGTATACACATACAAATCCCTGTTTTATTCTTCCGGCTGCAGGTTGCCACAGCAAGTCATCTGCTTCTCTTTCTGCCTTTAGTATCTCCTATCACCCTCTTTGCAGGCTCTCTGCCTCCCTGGGAGGCTCATTTTCAGCATCCTTTGTCCCATATATCCTCCATCCCCTCCGAACGCATTAAACACCACAGTCTGGCCTCCATGACTTTAACTCTTATGTGCTCATTTCTGATTCCGTCCGTTTTCGTCACCGCCAATGAAAATGTCCACATTTTCAGCTCGGCGCCCCGTCCCTTTATCAGTGCCGCTGTTTCTAATCCGCTCATCACTGCTTGTAAACCTTCCTAATGCGCTCTCGACTCCATTCTGCCTGCGCTTTCCGCTCTTCTTTGATTCACTGCCTGTTGCTTTTGGATAGTTGACCCCGAGGTGCTTGCACTCCTCCTTTTTCACTGCTTTCACTTCCTGCAGCTACACTTTTCTGCCAGCTCTCTTGGTCTCATTCACACACATACATATTGTGTTGATGATGGTTCTTGTTCAAAAGAAATATATTGGATCTTTTATTCAATTATTTATTTATCGTTTTCATTTTAAAAAAAATTAACTTTCACATCTTTCTTTCCTATAGACCCTCTTAAGTCAGAACTTTGGAAGATGCAAAACAAATCATTGAAATCATTATATTACAGCTCATATTATATGTTAAAGGTTCGGGGTGCTGTGGTGGCACAGGGGCAAAGTACGACTCACGTATTGAGGACTTAGTCCTCGTGGTGGCGGTCGTAGGTTCGATTCCCAGCCAGGCGACATTTTCCGCATGTCTTCCCCCTCTCTCATCACCCTCTTTCCCGTCAAACTACTTTCAAATAAAGGCCACTAGAGCCAACAAAACCTTTAAAAAAAGATTATTTGGTTCTTAAAAAAAAAAGAAAAATGACCAGCTAGTTCTAATTTCATATTATGTGTCACATCATTGTAGATTTGCCTAAAGTAGTAGTAATAATAGGACATTTATTGCACTGGGTGTAAAATCTGCAAGATGGAACAGTAAAATGTTGATCTTCAAAACTTTCTGGCTTGTATGTCTTGTTACCGGGTTTTCAGGGTTTGGCGAGAATAATAACAAAAATGCCCTTGGTCAGTCCGGCAAACATTTCTATCTTGTCAGACGTGTCTCTTCTTCAGATGAGCTGAGACCGGGGAGCGCTCCTCAGCAGCCAGCCAGGGGATGACTCAGCTAATGCAGCCTTTGAAATGTTGAGCAAACCGCAGCTAGCGGGCACAATGATTTCCTTGTCGGGTGACAAATAGTGCGCGCACATAACAAACCTTTCACAATAAGAGCCTTTATACATGCTCTGAATTTCAAATGTCACATTTTTACGCTGGTTGAAATATCTTAAAGAGCTTTTTTATTCTTGCAAAAACTCAATATTCTGTATGATATTGAAAATTGTTTTAACTTCTAAAAGTTTTGTGTATATTATGTAGCTCACCAGACTCCTGAGTTCAAGAAGATTGGAGGTTTTCTGTAGAAGCTCGTCATCGGAAGCCATTTTTAAGAACATCCTCCAGATGTTTCGAGGCAAGAATGAGAGAGGCAAATCTGACCTCTATGACCCCAGTGCTTTTTCATATTTACTTTACCCAAAGCTTAACAGGCGGCGCCTACAGGAAGTCCATATAGTTAACCTTGCTTGGCATTGTCAATACAACCAACTGCCTGCTATCGATTTTTAAGTATGTAGGTGTGAATTTGCCATAATGGACTTGAGTTTGGACTTGAGCTGAGTACATATGATGCATCTCTCCATTTGACCCAGAACCTGAGTGTGAGGCATTTGACCACATCAGAGTGATTGATCAGGTGAGATGCATCGACGGAAGAGGAATGAAGAGCCGTTTTAGGGTTTGAAGTGGATCCTCTCCCTTGGTGATACGCCCAGCTGCACAAAGTGTATACTTGAACAAATGCTTGAACCTCTTCTGCTGTCATCTCTGTAGCTCTCGCTACTGCTCTACTGTCACATGCTTCACATTTTATTCCTGCTTGCCATTAAAATACAGATGTTCCTTGTCTTACATACCATTTAGCCCGCACAAGGCACTTGTAACGTCTTCACAACTCGCGAAGCTGCGGCATGAGAGTTGAAGCTTACTGAGGCTTCCTCCTTTTCAAAGAAATACATGAACTTTGATCAAAACGGAAAGTGCTGTGTTAGAAGCTATTTTATTGGTGCTGAGGGAGCTTTTTAGATCTAGAAGGAATGGTGAAGCAACGAGAGCCTACAACAGACAGGCTGTAGTTTGAAATGCAAAGGGGCTATTAAATGTTGATAAATTAATCATGGATATGTTGTGGTTTACAGCTGAAGTGCTTAGTTGAGTTCCATCAAACCTTATCTTGAATTAATAAAGAGCAAATGAATCATGTCTAACTGCTTATGAACTGTAGCTCAACTGTGGGGGCATGACAGATGGTACCTGACAGAAGCTATATTCTTCACCAGCCTCGCTTAAAACACCTTGAGCTCGGTGGTGAGTTTAGACCGGACTTGTCTCTACATATTTGGAACATGCCATTTGAGTTGTTTGTGAAATGGTCAAGGTTGCCATTAAAGTTGGTGGATCTTGATAGAAGTTTCACAAGATCATATCAGGAGATGCATTGTTTTTTGTCTCCATCCTCCTTTCAGTTTTATCTTATTCACCATCAATGAATAAATTGATGAAAGAACAATTCAGAAGTAGGATTTTTTTTACTTCCTGACAGGCCCGAACTTCCATCGGGAAGAAGGTAACTGCTCTAACCGTTTTTATATTTAATTTAATATAATGTTAATTTACAAAAAAATAAATCTAAGAAAAACATTACGTGGTTATTTATGTGGCATGTCTGTGAAGAGATTAATTTTTCACAGTTGCCTATTAATTGGACAATTTTTGGAAATATGACATGGCATTGATCGAAACTTCTCGTGGAAGAGTTAAACGGAAAGTCATTATTATCATTATTTTGGCATCACTTGCAAGTGAAAGTCACTAGTTTGGAATTATCTGCACATAAAAGACATGATGCAGTCTTAGACTGTTTAGGAATCAGTTATCGAAAGCTTGTATATTGTCGAAGTAAAAGTGACTCAAAATCACAACCCTGAGGAACCCCACATTGCAGGTTTGAAGTGTGTGACAAGATTTGCTTTGCGGTTGTATGATTCCCTTATACAACCTCATTAGATTAGCAGAAGAGGATGAACTGACTCCAAAATAGTAAGAGAGGATTGTCTTTCATATTTGCTTTCATTCTTCAGCGGCTTGAAGCGGCTCATATCAGGACTCATATCATAATCTGAGACTGCTCTCTTACCTGCAGACGTAAGGTGGACTCGAGTTCACCTCAAGTCTAAAATAAGGATCCAGGAATGAATCATTAAACAGTGTAGTTTCTTTGTCGTGACTTGACAACAACACACACTCACTTTGTACTTGTAATCCATAACGCTAAATATTTGATGTCTAACAATGTTGCTTAGACTGCAGCTTTCACGCACACACTTTGGCAGGCTGTGTCACAGACTCTCACCTCCTTTCTCAACCTCCTGAGGAAATTTGACCATTTCCTTTTTCCCTGCAGAGTTGCCTTTGCTAGTGTGTGCAGATCATCCTTTGCTTTGCTTTTCGTGGAGTTTACTCCTGTCCCAATTTGTCCCCACATTTCATCCTTTCCCAGTTGCATTTTATACCTGTAAATAGAACATTTCACAAATTACACAAATTATATTTTACTTAGTAGCTATATATTTTTGTAATTTGTGGATTTTCAAATGCTTAAATTTCTTGAATAACCTTATAAACCGAATCATAATTTTCTAAGTATGTTATATTGCATCCTATTTCCATTGCGTTTGGTTCTGACCACTGTTTGGTTTTGATAATAATTAAAAAATTTTCAAAACAATATTGTCAGAGAAGCTCAGTGTAGTGATGTTGTTTTTGGCAGAGCAAATGCATCAAATTCAAATTGTATATGCCACCTTCTTACTCCTGTCATCGGAAATGATTGACAAGTCTTGTTACACCTGTAAAAGCTGCTTCTGGATGGTCGCACAAACCTTACATCGACACATCACTCCCTCAATCCACAA